CAGGAGCGGTGAGAGAGCGCCGGCCTTTGGCGCCAGCCATGGGGGGGCAGCGGAGAGCCGAGGCGGGGCCCATTGTGACTCACCTGGGGGCACCTGTGATCTCACCTGGCACCGGTGGGGACCGAGGTTTACCCCCGGTGGCCCCGCGCAGAGCCTGGGTAGAAAGGACAGCTGCACCCCCTCTTCCGTCCACCGGCCGGATCTGGGGATCTGGCGAGCTCGACCCCTCGGAGCCTGCGCTCCTCTCCCTCCTCCCCTGAGTTTGGGGTCGGGAAGTGACTGTCATAAGCTGGAACGGGGAGTAGAGGGACCCCAGCTGGATGGCCCAGTGGGAAGAGCGGTAGAACAGTGAGAGTCCGGAGCCTGTTTGCTCTTTTGGAGTGGTAGAGATGGGAAAAAGTTGCTTAGAGCGGGGATCCCATGGGCATTTTTCCACCCCTCCCACAGCGTGCCCTAATCCCAGTGTCGTTGACTTTGCTGGAGGCAGAGGAGGCTGTCCAGCAAGGGAGGGCCGGGTGGAGAACTTGCCTACCTCCCCTTGCATTTTTGCTTCCTGAGTGTCCCCTTCCTAACTGAAGACCAGTGAGGTAGCTAGACCAGAGTGTGCTACCTCTCTGGGTCCTGCTTGGGCCAGGAACTGAGATACAAACAGCCAGGCCCTAGACACCTGGCAACAGGCGTGCTTCCCCTGACCCATGTGGCCTGAAACTCCATGGGGTCTGAGGTGTGCATCCTGGGCGGGATGGCTTCAAGAGCCTCCAAGCTCCTGGCCACCCATTGCCTTCCCTGGGCTGGCTGCCTTGCCTTTCTTTCCTTTCCGTGCTCTGGGCTTTCTCTGAAATATTGCTCCTCCAATCTCCTGTTTCTTTTGAGGGTTCTGAGGTTGGGACCACTTGAAGTGGAAGGCAGTTTTCCCTGAGGAACTTGCTCCTAATTAAATCCTCCCTTGTGTACTGACACTGTTTCTCCTCTTTCTCCCTGGGGTCAGGACTGGAGGGAGGTCACTGGTGCTGAGTGAGATGTTTATGGAACACGCTTGTCAGACTGGGTGAGGGCCTCGTGGGCTAGGTCCGCCCCTCGGTCCTCCCAGGCTTCAGAGGGGCAGGCAGGCAGCTCTGTGGGCTTGGCTGCTGGGGTCTGTCCAGCAGATATCTGTCCTGGTTTGGAGGCTGTGAGGTAGGGAGGGAGCCAGAACTCGAGTTCCCAGGAATTTGATTTTCCCCTCCATACTCAGTAGGTGTCCCTGGGGTATGAGGTGGGCAGAGATGTGTGTGGCTTCCTTCCCTTGCTAGTGTAATAATGGAGCTCAACCCATCTTGCTAACGTCCTGATAGGTTCACCAAGATTCACCTTGTGGAAGCCTTAGGCACAGACTCCAGGGAAGCTTGGAGAGGCTGTGTAGGGTTTGAGAGCTTGGGCTGGTTTCTTCTGTCCTGTGCTATCTGTTGGAACATCATCATGGCCACCCACTGGGCTCCAGGTGTCCTCAGGCTGGCTTTCTGAGGCCTAGGGGTGGAAGTGCTTAGGCTCTAGCAGTTAAGAGAGCTGCACTTACAGGGTGATCTCCCTTGCCTGCCCCTGGGGCGTGTATCTAGTAAGCTGCTTCTCCGCAGTGGCGGCTCAGCTTCCAGGACTTTAGTTTTTTTGTCTACATTATCATATAGGTCCTGTATCACCCAAGGGCCTGTAGCAGTTCCTGACTCAGGCCACAGCTTGGTAGATGAGATCAGTGGCCAGCAGGACTTGGAACATGTGGATGGAGCCTACCCTGCCTAGCCCCTAGCCAGGCTTCTCTGAAAGTGCTAGTTTTGCCAGCAGGCTGCTTTTTTGCTCCAGGATCCTCTATGGAGGAGCCACTAGGCTGGCAGGAGAGGCAGCTGCTCACCTGGCTCCCTCCCCTCTCCCAGGAGGAGCTGGACCAGTCATTCTCCCAGAGGGAGGCTTCCTAAGTGGCAAACACTCAGCTCAGAATGAGGCCAAATGCGGGAAGCACTTTACCATTCATTGACCTTGCGGGGACATGCTGTCCTCAGCCTACCCATGAAGACACTGGGGCCCAGAGTGGGGGAAGGGTCATATGGGCACAAGGCCTGACTGGCACTAGGCTGGTATAGGGACCTGAGAGCTGTTACAAGGCCTAGTGCTATAGGGAGCCTTCATTCGGGGTTGTGGGCCCCTGCTTTGTCCTTGTACCACCAAGCTTGAGCATGTGTGTTGTAGGCTGCTAGAGGCCACCCACCCTGTGTGAGGCCAGGCACTGGGCATTTATTTGAGCTACAGCCCTGGGGGAGGGGAAGCAAAAGAATGAAGCCTGAGGGGAAATTTCACCACCCAAGGGACTGGAGGACAAGAGGGACCTTTGCCAAGGTCAAAGCTGTCCTGACAGGTGCTCCAGCTGGCCCTAAGACTTGACTTCTAATCCCCCCCACCCCCGTACTGCATTTTTCCCAGTCTGCACCCTACCCTTGGGGAGGAGGGTGCCCTGCACTGGCTGATAACATCCTCTCCCTGCAGAAGCCAGGCTGGTGTCTGAACATTTCTCACAGGCGCCACAGAAGTTGTCCTTCTACAACTGGTATGGCAGCGCCAGACTGTTCCACTTCCGTGTGCCCCCAGACACCATACTGCTGCGCTGGCTGCTGCATGTGTCCTGGGACAGTGGCCCCACATGCACTGATGCAGAAATTACTGTGTAAGTACGAGCCTCCTGCCCACAGCACCCGAGCCTGGCCAAGGACCCCACCTAATTGCAGCTCCTGCCGTGATCTCCCTGCTCTAGGCATTTCCGCTATGGCGCCCCTCCTGTCATCAACCCCCTGGGCACCAGCTTCCCTGATGACACCCCGGTGCAGCCCTCCTTCCATGTCAGGGCACTGTTAAGTACCATGCTGCTAGGCAACACCACGGTCAATGTGTCCCACCCAGCCCCTGGAGACTGGTTTGTAGTCGCCCACCTGCCCCCCTCATCTCAAAAGATCGAAGTGAAGGTGAGGGGGGCTGACCTCTAGGATGGGGGCAGGACTCCCTGGTGCATGGGTGACCTATTGTCCACCTCTCTGGGGAATACCTTGTTCTGGACTTAGCCACTCCATCCTGGATGCAGCCCCAATTCCCCTGAGCCTGTTCCCCAACCCTTGCACCCTGCGTTTTCTGACAACCTTGGGCTTTGTTGTCTTCGTAGGGCTTTGTTCCCTCCTGCGCCTACATCTTTCAGCCGGACATGCTGGTTATGCGGGCGGTTGAGTTCACAGTCCTGGAGCCTGATGTGCCCCTTCCACAGATCCTACTCACCCACCCCAGCTATGTCAAGTGAGTAGGTTCTAAAAGAGAACTCGGTTTGCCCTTTGGCCTCAGCCTTCCGGGTTAGAGTGGGTGGTGCCACTGTCCGCAGCCTGGTCCTGGGCCTTGGAATTGTACTGGGAGGTGGGAACAGATGCCCCGCCCAAGTGGATTGGAGGAAGTATGGAGTCTGAGTGAGGCCATACCAACTTGCCCTAGGATCTTTGTCCCTGAGTACACCCAGGAACTTCGGCTGGAGCTGCAGGGCTGTGTATCCAGTGGGAGCCTGGGCTGCCCAGTACGTCTCACAGTGGGTGCAGCTAGCCTGCCCAACAACTTCCAGAAAGTGCTGACCTGCACCGGCCCTACCCCGTCCTGCCTTCTGCTGCTGCCCTCACCACCTTGGGGCCAGTGGCTACAAGTGACAGCTGAGAGCCTGGCAGGGCCCCACGTATCAGTGGCCTTCAGTGCTGCGGCTACCCTCACAGGTGGGCTGCGTGGAAGGAGGTGGATGATGGCGGTGGCTCTGCCTCTTCCTTTGACCCTCAGACTTTCCTCCAGCTGAGCCTTTTACCCTTTTGATAGCCTGCAGGCCAAGGAGTGTGACCTTCCAGCGCCTTTTTCAAAATAGCACAAACCAGAGCTATGATGCCACTGCAAGCCATCTGTCCCTGAGCCCTGCCCACCAGGACCGGAGCAGGAGCAGTGGGATGGGCAGTGGCCCCTTCTGCCTGCTGAGCTATCCAGTCATGAGAGAGGACATGGATGTGCTGTCTGTGCACTTCCAGCCCTTGGATGGGGTCTTGGTGCTGGTGCGCTCAGACAAACCTTCTGTGATGCGGCTCCGCCTTGATACAGGCATGGACAGTGGGGGCTCCCTCACTATCACCCTGAGGGCCAACAAGGTACTGTCCTTGCAGTCGGGTAGGCTAACTGCAGATGGCATGGGCTTGGTTCGAGGCACTTTGTACACTGATTTCAGCCTGGACACCAAGGCAGGGCAGCCTTTCAGGCAACAGAATGATGGCAGCAGCACTGGGACCCTGTCTCAGGACAGGAGTCCTCTCCTCTAGGGCAGACCTAGCTTTGTCAGCAGGCCCGAGAGCTGTGCCTGAGGAAACAGGCTGTGGAGACAGCTTGGATCAAGTACCCAGGCCCGAGGTGCAAGCGAGAGCCTTGGAGAAAGGCACCCTGCACGACTGAGCTGACAGGCAGGGCAGATGGTATGCTGGCTCTGGGGGGCCAAGAGGCCAACTCTGCACTGCTTCCCCTTCCAGACCGAGGTCACAAATGATACCTTGGTGGTGGCCTGCGTGAATGCTGCTTCACCCTTCCTCAACTTCAACACTTCACTTAGCTGTACTACAGGTATGGTAGGCAGGTGGCACCTGGAGGGTGGCCCTGACCGGGCCCTCTGGTCTTGCTAACAGGACTTCCTGTTCTATGCAGCCTTTTTTCAGGGCTACCCCCTATCTCTGAACGGCTCATCGAACACAGCCAACCTCGTCATCCCCTACCCGGAGACAGACAACTGGTACCTCTCCCTGCAGCTCACGTGCCCTGAAAGTCCTGAGTACGTAAAACTGGGGCCCAGCAACGAAGTACTAGCTGGGAACTACCAGCTAAGTTATGTTCAAGACCATGCCTCCCTGAGCTTGGAGTGACCCGTTTCCTGCTAGTAGGGAGAGATCATGTGTTATCCTTGTGTTAGGAGTGCTTCTCCCTCTCTACTTGGTTTCTCTTCCACAGCAGCCCTGGAAAGAGGAAGGACCACCTCTGGGGCTACTGGAGCCTGGGGGCTCAATTCTGGGCTCATGTATCCATAAGCCTGTGGAAAGCCCTGGTGGTAGATTGGCCAGCAGAGGTTGCAGTCAGCCTTACGGTGCCTCCCATCCTTATAGGGACTGCGATCAAGCCAAGGTTCGCGTACAGACCACCATGTACCTGGTCCCTTGTTTGAATGACTGTGGACCCTATGGCCAGTGCCTGCTGCTCCGCAGATATGGCTACCTGTATGCAGGCTGCAGCTGCAAAGCAGGTGAGAACGGGGGCTTTACATAGCTAGGGGCAGTCTCTGCTGCCATTGATATCCCAGCCCTGTGCCTTTTCCTATGGGAGCTCCACCAGGCCTGTAGAGTGCACTCTTTTAGAGCAAAGTGGGGAGGTGGGTACTCCTCCCATGCCCCCACAATCTATTGTCCAAACACAGAGACTGAGGTATCTCCAGAGTGGTACTGCCTCCTGACCTTGGCCTCCCCGACTCCTCCCTGTCTGCGCTGTCCACATGCCCACGCTATACATGAACATACCCACGCGTACATGTCCGCAGTTGCCCCACCTACACATATCTGCCCATGGGTATCTGTATCTATTTTTGTCTATTCGTGTCTCTACCTGTCCACACCTATCTCTGCTTGTCCCATACCTGCCTCTGTACCTGCCCTGCTTGCTTCTGGATGAGGCAGGGACCCCAAAGTTCAGAAGTCCCCTATAGGGATCTTGGCCCCAGCCGCCCACCCTAGACCCCTGGATGTTTTGTGGCTCACAGGATGGCGTGGGTGGAGCTGCACCGACAACAGTACCGCCCAGACGGTGGCCCAGCAGAGGGTGGCTGCACTCCTGCTCACCCTCAGCAACCTCATGTTCCTGGCTCCCATTGCTGTGTCTGTGCGCCGTGCCTTCCTGGTGGAGGCCTCCGTCTACCTCTACACCATGTTCTTCTCCACGGTAGGCCCAGCCCACATCTCGGGGTTCCCTAGGGTGGGGAGCTCCAGGATGCTGCTTACTGCCCCATCTCACAGTTCTACCATGCCTGTGACCAACCGGGGGAAGCCGTGCTGTGCATCCTCAGCTATGACACGCTCCAGTACTGTGATTTTCTGGGCTCTGGGGTGTCTACCTGGGTCACCATCCTCTCCATGGCCCGGCTGAAGACAGTTCTGAAACATGTGAGTGACCTCTGATGTGGGGACTGGGCTCTTGAGGGAGTAAGAGGCCCCTGCCACACAGCACATGCAAGGCGGTAGAAAGACAGAGAAAGCACTGGACCTCAAGTCTCACCTAGTGATCAGTCACCCTCTGAAGAAGCTGCAGGCCCCTGTTAGGGAAAAGTGGCAGCTATCAGAAGACACCAGGATGGCTGGGAGTGGTGGTGCACACCTGTAATCCCAGCACTCGGGAGGCTGAGGCAGGAGGACCACTGTGAGTTTGCGACCAGCCTGGGCTACATAGTGAGTTCCAGGGCAGTCTCAAGTACATAGTGAGACCCTGTCTCAAAAACAAAAAAAGACACCAGCATGGAAGGTAGTGGGCAGGGTTTTGCAAGAACTCCTAGCTCCAGCTGGGTGTGGTGGCACATCCCTATAATCCCACACTTGGGAGGCTGAGGCAGGAGGATCACCAGGAGTTCAAGGCTAGCCTGGGATACATAGTGAGTTCAAGGACTCCCTGATCTACATAGCAAGATCCTTTGGTTGCGGGGAGACCTTCCAGCTCTTCTCTAAGTCCTTGTTCAAGGTAGAAGCCCACTCCAGGCCATACCTCCCCGAAAAGTTCTTTGGTGCCAGAACACTAGAGACTTTTTGTAGCAGCTGGATCTGGCTAATGGAAACGCATCTCTGATGCCTGTGAACTGTGTTGTCTGTCTGCTCAGAGAACTGCAGGCCTAGACCTACCTTGAAGGGCATCCGTGAGACGCCCACAGTCAGGGCACAGGGACGGGGAGGGAATTTCCAAAGTATTGGGGTTCAGCAGGACTGAATATGGGGGCACAAATGTGCAGGTTGTGGTTAGGTCGGATGGAGACTCAGGAGTGGGAGTCCCTACGCGGGGATCATCTGGGGGGAGACTGAGGCTGTCCTGATGGGAGATTCCACAAAGCTAGGGGTGCAGGGGTGGGGGGGTGTGGGGACAGAGTTTCTATTCAGTTTGTTTCCTACTTTAGAGAGAGGCACCATCTCCTTGTCCCGAGAGGTGCCTGGCTGGCTAAGTTTGTGTCTCAGAAATGTCAAGACTGCTGAGCATGGTGGCACATACCCATAATCCCAGTATTTGGGAGGCTGAGGCAGGAGGATTGCCCTGAGTTCCAGGCCAGCCTGGGATACATACTGAATTCCAAGCCAGCCTGAACTGTGTAGCGAGTCCCTGTCTTAACCACACCCCCAAATAACACCACCACCACTAATAATAATAATATTAAAAAAGATGTCAAGGCTGCATTCACCTGTGGATGCCATGCAAGAGCCAAAGGAAGGCGTTTTTCTCCTAGCCAACAGAATAGGGAAAATTCTGCCAGCAGCTGCAAAGGGGCTGCACAGAGTTTCTGAGAGATTGTGTGGTGGCAAGATGATCACTGTGACTGCCCACTTGTTTCTGCTGGGTTCTGTGCTGCCACAGGTGACCCTAATCCAAAACTCTTGTGACCCCATAGCCACCCCTGTGTCTTGTCCAGGTCCTGTTTCTCCTGGGCACACTGGTCATCGCCATGTCCTTGCAGCTGGATCGCAGGGGCATCTGGAACATGATGGGACCCTGCCTCTTTGCCTTCGTGATCATGGCTTCCATGTGGGTAAGGACTAGGACAGGCAGGTGCTCCTGCCCAGACGCTGAGAGAAGGCCTTTGTTCTGGCCCTACCCCCAGTCCTGCTTCAGTCAGCAGATTTAGGGCCCAAATGCCCCACATCTGCTAACGGCTGCTAGAGTGCCTCCACCCCCATCCCTGCCCACTGCTGCCCAGAGCCCCGGGATGGTTATGTCCCAGAGGTCTGAGACTGAGGAGCAGTGGCCTTGTGCACTTGCACCTCCTCCGAGTTATCTATCTCCATGGTTCTGCTGCCCAGACCTGGGTGGACCCTTATAATCCCTAACCCAGGGACCTAGGAGCTTCAGCCACAACCAGCCTATACCAATACTAGCATGGCTATTTGCTTCAGGTGTACCGCTGCGGGCACAGGCACCAGTGTTATCCCACCTCGTGGCAACGCTGGGCCTTCTATCTCCTGCCTGGCATCGCCATGGCTTCTATGGGCATCACCATCTATACTTCCCTGATGACCAGCGACAACTATTACTACACACACAGTATCTGGCACATACTCCTAGCTGGGAGCGCAGCCTTCCTGCTACCACCACGGGATGAACAGGCTGAGCCCTGGTCTTGCTCACAGAAGTTGCCCTGCCACTATCAAATCTGCAAGAATGATCGGAATGAGCTATACACTGTGACGTGATGTGGCCAGCCTGGGAACATCTGCTACTGATAATCTCTTCAGCCATAAGTAGGACCAAGGAAGAGGAGGCCTGTCCAGCCCTGTCTAGATTGGTTCCCAACTGAATAAAATTGCCCTGAGACCCTTTGCTTCCTCCTCCAGAGGAAAGGAACACCCTCCTCCCCAGCACACACACACACACACACACACACACACACACACACACAGAGGACCTGCTCCCCTGTGTCTGCTGTCGACATCGTCAACGAGACCCTCAGCATATCTCAGTGGCTCTGGCAGTGATCCCTGGAGATCACAGACAACGGGTGTGGGCAGGTTCTTATGCCCTGCCGGCCTGGTGGTGATTAGAGGCTGGAGGTAGTAGAGAAAAGCTCCCTATTGCCTTGTTCCCCTGTGAGGCTGTGATGTGAGGACCTACATGGCCGAGAAGGGTTAGTTAGTCCCTGAGGCCGGCAGCCTGGTGATCTGGCTGTGTGCCCGACTGCCTCTGTGGGGATCCTATGCTGCTGCAGTTGCAGTGGGAGAGACCAGGGCTACGGCAGTGGATGGCCCCTGGGGATACAGGGTCTTGCCCTTCTCTCTAGCTCTCAGATCTTAGGAAGAGCCTCCTGAGAGGGGGCTGCTCAGCTGTTCTGAGTGTGATGAGTACATCCCCCCAAGTTTTGGGGCCCTTGTCGGGCAAGCATCCTTTTGAATAAGACTTAGGAGCCTAAGTGGTGGCTGTCTACCCTCCCTGCACTGGACCAAGTGAGACTCAGAAAAGTGCCTCTGGAGAGCTTGTTTAGTCTTGCCAGGTCAGGTGACTCCGGGCTGACTGCTTCCGGGAGCAGTGCCTGCCCCTCCCCCAAGGGCTGGGAGCAGGTGCTGCGTCCTCCTACCCTTTAACTCTGGGGCTTCCTTTCTGGTTTCTGGTTGGGTGTAGTCTTCGGCGTCTCCCGCGGCAGTTACTCCACACTTAGACGCGAAAGCACTCCCCAGTCTCAGAGTAAATGTGTACTTCGGGTGTTTTTTTGGGGGGTGGGGTGGGACAAGATCTCGCTTTGTAGTGCAGGCTGGCCTTGAACTATGTAGCCCAGGTTGGCCTCAAGCTCACGGTGATCCTTCTACCTCTGCTTCCTGAGCGTGGGATTACAGGCGTGCAACCACCACGCCTGCAAGATTTTTTTTTTTTTTTTTTTTTTGTT